ACTACCACTACTACCACTACTACCACTACTACCACTACTACCACTACTACTACTACTACTACTACTACTACTACTCCTGCTGCTGCTGCTGCTGCTACTACTACTACTCTACTACTACTACACTACTACTACTGCTGCTGCTGCTACTACTACTACTGCTACTACTACTACTAGTACTACTAGTATCAGTACCAGTACCAGTACCAGTGCCACGACTACGACTACTACTACTATTACTATATTTGCTACTACTACTGCTGCTGCTGCTGCTACTACAACTACAACTACAACTACAACTACAACTACTACTACTACTACTACTACTACTACCACTACTACTACTACTACTACTACTACTACTACTACTACTACTACTACTACTACTACTACTCTACTACTACACTACTACTACTACTACTACTACTACTACTCCTGCTGCTGCTGCTACTACTACTACTACTACTCCTACTACTCCTACTACTACTACTCCTACTACTACTTGTGAAACAGGAGTTCTCCTAAGTGCCTGCTCTTCCCAGGTGTTAGGTACGTTGAGGCTAGGCTGAAAGAGCCCGCCTTTTGGTTTTTTTGGCTCAAGGTGCAAAGCGCACTTCGTGGACGTCGCAAGACTGGGGAAGCGGATGGAAGAGAAAGTACGATCCGACGTCCGGAACGGACGAGAACCATCCGTACGCGCATGCCGGGCAGGCGTGGGCAGTTGGCCTAGGGGCGACGCTCCTGTTGGAAGTGGCGTGGTCAGGCGTGAGAGTCGCCCGGCAGACAGGGGAGAGCGCTGCGGCCATAGTGCGCGCGCTCGAAGGAGCTGTCGTGGCGGTTGTAGAAGCCGCCGGAGTACAGGCAGAAGCGACCGTTTCCAAGGTGTTCGAATGGATGGCCTTGATCTTGGCCTTGTGGGCTGTCTGGGCTTTGGGTAGATGGTGGAAGCACCAAGAAATGATGATGGCCGGGTTTAGCGCTGGGAAGAAGCGTGGGAAGAGAAACACCGATGCCGGAAAGAAGGGTGAACCCGAAGGGCAAGAGTTGTCGCCCCTAAGTGCACGAAGTGCCGCTTCACCTCTGCCCGCACCAAATTTTCGAACACTTCGCGCGAAGGCTAGGCTTGAGGAAGAAGGAAGAAGAACGAGATCGTTTCCGGCTCTCCCGCCTTCCACCACGACCCCAGTGCAGACGACAGGTAAGAGAAGAAGAAATCAGAGACTGGCTGGAGTTGAAACTCCTTCGATGAGCCCGGTCGGGAAAGAAAAGACCACCAAAGATCCAGCGGCCCAGTCGAGGGCGCGGACTGATGACCGTTCGGTGGTGCCAGAGAAGCCGATAGGGGCAGGACCAATCCGAACAATCGAGCTGCTGCGAAGTGCTACCGAGGCGCAAGAGTGCGCAGTACAAGTGCTGACCTCTTGTGCGGCCGAGAG